GCTGAAGGGCCTCTGAAAATCGAAGGGGCACAAACGTGACGTTTCTGTCCTGGGGGCTTCGGGGACCTGTTTCAGGCCTCCCGGATTTGCCTTGTCCTCTTCTAGACAAGAAGGGTCTTTCGGGAGGTCAAGTGGAGGTTGAACGCGCGTCCTCCCCAGATGTGAGCTCGACGGTCGCGGAGTGTGTGACCGGGGGCGGTCGGGGCCGCGCAGCAGAGCGGGCCGGAGGACCGGGCGGCCGGGGAGGCCTCCTGAGGCTGAGGCTGTGGCTGCGCCCGGGTCCCCGGAAACAGACCGGGGCACCCTCCCTGATTGCCGGTTGTCTCGGGAAGAGTTTCCTTTCTTTGTGTTTCCTGAAAACAAAGGTTTCTCTTCCCTAACCTCAGTGCAGTGATCAAATTCAAGAAGTTAACAGTGGGACAATATTATCGACTCCGCAGACGTTATTCCATTTCCATCAATTGTCCCAATAATGTCCTTTATCACAAAGGAAAATTCAAAAGCACCTGTTGCGTTCAGTCGTCGGGTCTCTTTAACCGACTCGAATCTGAGGGAACGCCCAGGTCATTCTTTGTAGTCCATTACTTAGGCATTTTTGAAGACTACGGGCCAGTTATTTGTAAAACATCTTTCAGTTTGGGGGTCGTCCTGTGTTTCCTCATAATTGCACTCCCGTATGCATTCTGGACAGGAAGGCTGTGTCAGTGACGCTGTGTCTGATGTGGGTTGACTTGTGTCCCTCCAAAAATATGTGGGAGTCCTAACCCTGGGACCTATGAGTGTGACCTTATTTGGAGACAGGATCTTTGAAGACGAGGTCGCTAGAGTGGGCCCGCATCCAACAGGACTGTCCCGTATAAGAGGAAAGTGCCACGTAAAGACGCAGACACGCAGGCAGAACACCATGTGATGACAGAAGCAGAGGTTGGAGTGATGTCGCCACAAGCCAAAGATTGACTGTCACCGCTAGAAGCTAGAAAGAGCCAAGGAGAGACTCGACCCGGAGTCTCAGAGGGAGCACGGCCCTGCTGACACCTTGATGTTGGACTTCTAGCTTCCGGGCCCCTGAGAGAATACGTTTCTGTTGTTTAAGCCACCCAGTGTGTGGGACTTTATTATGACCTCCCTAGCAAGTAAATGCGGTGTCCTTCTCTGGGCCTCACATTTGGAGGCACACGAAGTCAGTTTGTCCAATTGGTGGTGTCGACGTTGATTACTCGATTAAGGTGGTGTACGGCAACCATCCGCCACTAGAGGGGTTCACCAGGGTTTCCCTTGGTGATAGTAAGTAATTTGCGTAGAGGTAGTTTGGGGATATGTCAACATCCTGTTCCTCTGCAAACTTTAACGCGGTGGTTTTTAGCATCCGGTGGTGACTCTGGCATTATGATTGCCAGATGTTGATTCTCTAATTCCATCACTGATTCTGCATTTATTAGTTGGATTCTATTGTCGGGAGGACAATAGAATTTCCCTCCTTCCCTAGGCACTGTCGCTTTGAACACATGGTTGTGATTTTATTCAGTTGTTCGTAATGCAGAACCGTCTTTAATAATTCCGATGTTCAAATGTTCTGCGTTTGGGCCTATGAAAGCCAGGCCATTGGGGCCGGCCCAGTGGCGCAGTGGTTAAGTGTGCATGTTCTGCTTTCAGCGGCCGGGGGCTCGCCGGTTGGGATCCCGGGTGCGGACATGGCACCGCTTGGCAAGCCATGCTGTGGTAGGCATCCCACATAGAAAGTAGAGGAAGATGGGCACGGATGTTAGCGCAGGGCCAGTCTTCCTCAGCAAAAAGAGGAGGATTGGCAGCAGATGTTAGCTCACGGCTAATCTTCCTAAAAAAAAAAAAAAGAAAGAAGGAAAAGAAAAAGAAAGCCAGGCCATGTAATTTTGGGAGCATTTCCTTCTTTCCTGGCACAAGGTGTTCCAGGCTCATCTTGTACCTTGCCTGACTCCTGAAGATCACCTCTGTCTCCAAAGAGCCCTGGTTCTTTTCAGTGGGGAGCAGCTCGTAGGAAGCAAGGTCAGGGCACTAGGGATGCTCATGGCTACTGGATGTCTCGGCTTCCACGCCGCTTCAGGGGACAGAGCTCGGAAACACATATACTTCCTGCACATAGCTATACCGGCTAAAAATGAGGAGCCCGAGCTGATACCTGCAATTCCAGCTTTCGACTTAACACCAGGTGGTTCCTCCTTGCCCTCCCCCTTCTCGTACCTGCATCTCTTTTCTCCAACCGCGAGAACCTTGACCCCCAACATCCACTTACTCATTAGCTCAGTCCTACGATACACACATCAGTACAGAATTGCTATGTTGACGAAAATAAGCCATAGCCAATCTATAAATGAAAATTTGGGGTGAGTTTATTCTGAGCTAAAATGTGAGGACCGAAGGAAGAAAGGGCACCAAAGAAGTGGGGTGCACGGAGTGGTTATATACTCCCAAAGAGGATGTTTCACATAGGATTGAAACGTCCCTTTTACAATAGTCGCCAGACTGCTCCGTCGGCACAGCGATTGATGGACACAGCAGGGAGGTCTGCTGTCTCGGTGGACCCACCTGGGTGGCAGGTCTGTTGTCTCAAGTTGGGTGGTCACAGGTGAGCTGGGTGGTCAAAGGTGAGCGCAGCAATCAGTTCCTAGCCTAAGGAAAGATGCTTATCCTTAAGGAAATGCCAATGTGGGGGGAAGCTGCACCTTTAAGGCCATTTGTTCTTGCCAGAGGAAATGTTTAAAGCAGCTATACAATGCGTGCTCAATGGCCATGTGGCCATGTCACGCCCTTTTGGAAAAACAAAGTCAGGCCGAATGAATTAGGTTCACACCAAATGGCTTCTTCATATACTCCAATATATACCATTGCTTGCCATTTCTATTTGTCAGTTACGACCCCATACCGGGAAGGACAGACCTGCGATGGGACAGCTCCTTCTTTGCAGTTCTTCTCCATAGATTTGAAGATGCTTATGGTCAACGTCCCACGTTCAAAAGTCATTTCAGTTGGTTATTTTTTTTTCTATTTCGGTGTGCTTACACTATTCATGTGAGATACAGTTAGGTTCATTAGCATTTACGTCCAATTTTAGGGGGTTTCCCCCGTCTTTAAGAAATAAATGTACAACATTGACGGAGTTATAAAAATCAAAATCACCTAGAAAGGCAGGGACACTCCGAAACGCGGCGTTCTCTCCTTCCTCTCACCCCTGCGGCTAATTTCATCAGTCTTCTGTTCCCTTTGGCAAAACTGTGTATGTTGCTCCTAGTTCACATTTTTTCCCAGACAGAGGGTAGCATGCTCCGTATATGTTTGCACTTTCTTTGTGTCACTCGACACAGTCAATGCGTCGTATCTAGAGAACCCTAAAGGCGAAGCCGACCTGCCCTGCCCGGCTCTGAGCCCACGGGGGCCGGCCGAGACAAAGGAAGCGAACCCCAAGCCGAGCCCGCGACAGCGAAATTTCCCGGCGGGAACAAAGTTCGAAGAAGACGGGGAGAAAGGCAACGCCCCTCAAGCTAACTGTAAACTACAAACGGGCGTTCATGTTAACCAGAGGAGTCACAGCTGACCTCTCCTGCTTCTCCCGACTTCCGTCGCCCGGGCAAGGGAAAGACAGGCCGCCCGGGACGTCACGACAAGGGCGTGGCGTATGCAGATGAGCGCGCGCGCAGAGGCTGCCGGTCCCGCCCCGCGTGCGGAGATCCAGACGCTGCGGGGTTGGTCGTGGGGGTGGGCGAGGCGGGGCCGCGGGGCCTCCAGGGGGCGGGGTCTGGGGCGGGACGCGGCGTGGCGTGGCGGGGGAAGTGACCGTGCGTAAGGAGCGGGGCCGGCGCGGGGGTGCGTGTCGGGGCGGGCCGAGCAACTCATACTTACCTGGCAGGGGAGATACCATGATCACGAAGGTGGTTTTCCCAGGGCGAGGCTTATCCATTGCACTCCGGATGTGCTGACCCCTGCGATTTCCCCAAATGTGGGAAACTCGACTGCATAATTTGTGGTAGTGGGGGACTGCGTTCGCGCTCTCCCCTGACAATTTTGGTTTACGAATGTCAGATGCTGTGGTGGTTTTGTCAGAAAGCCTGCCGTGTTTCAGTTTCCTTCGGGCTATAGTTTTTGTTTCTCTGCTAGTATTGTGTTTTTACTTTCTCTCTCTCTTCCGCAGTTGTTTTCCTGACTTCTTTAGCCCGAGCTTTCTGTCTCTGTTAGTTCCGCTGTCTTTTTCTCGTAGGGGTTGCGGAACTTTCAAAAGGCTGGGTTTTTTTTGTTTTTTGTTTTTTCTTTGTGAGGCGAGACAAGTCTGCCTAAGTACCTTCGTCTGTGTTTCGGGCACCATCCCGACGCGCCCTTCTCAGCACCAGTTCTGTCCTTGTCTTTTTCCTGCTGAGTTCTCTCCAGCGCTTTCATCACCTCGCTGCTTAAGTGTGCTTCTTAAGAATAACGGCAACTTCAGCAGCAGCTACCACGTGCGACCTTGTTCGGACTGCCGGATCTTAGACCTCCCCTTTACAGGATCCACTGGATCTGAAGCAACATTTTAACAAGATTCCTCGTTGATTCTATATACGTTCAAGTTTCACAAGCACTGACCTAACACACTATATATTTTAGTAACCTTACCCACTGGAATGTAAGTTCCATGAGGTCAGGGATTCTTGGCTATTTTGGTGACGGCTCCGTGCATACTTCACTAGAATAGTGCGTCGCTGTAATATGTTTCTAATATACTAGTTTGATCTCAGCCTTCAGAAACAAACAAACAAACAAAACTGTTTCCCAGCAGCTTCCCAGGTTCTAGCCCTGAGTCCAGATAAGATTAATAATACTGTGTCCTTCCTACAGGGAAATCACAGGGTTGGGAGCACTGCCTGTTCATCTTCATCAGCAATGTCTAGGAATACCGTCTGCTTGAGCCCCGGGATGAAAGCTATAAAAAAAAAAAAAACCAGGCCCCGAGCCCAGGGAGACAGGATCTCCTAGTCCACGCCGTGAGCCTCCAACCCAGCCTCCTTCCGCCCCTTTGCGCTTTAGGAGAATGTGATCACTTCACAGACATCGGAAAAAGGCCAGTCAAGGGGAAGCACCTTCTGTTTCTCCCCCGCCTGCCCCTCTCTTCATCCAGTGCTTCACCCTGGTTCAAGCTGCGGGAGGCAAAACTTTACTTTGACCCTCTTAGGGTCTCCGGCAGGACCTGAGAATCAAATGGACATAAAACAGAATAATAGGACATGTCCATGGGAGCCCCTTGGCAAAATGAAGACCCAAAGAAGCGGCTCGACCCAAAAGGAGCCCTGGTTCCTTTCATTGGAGAACGGTATTTAGAGACCAAGATCTGGTGCTTGGCGCTTGGTGTTTGTTGATGCCGGTGTGTCATTGCTTTCAGGCCCTGGTGTGTCATTTGCTTCGGTGGATTATAATCCATTGTTATCATTATCTCGATTTGGCCAGTCGGAACCCTTTCAAACTGACTCTAGTGCGCTTGACATGTCCGCCTCGGTCCCCGCGCATTTCTTTTACTTTCTGCCCCAGCTCCCACGTTCCAGGCTCAGCTTGTCTCTTCCCCGCCCCGCCTCGCTGGGCCCCTCCCCCCTCCTGCGCAGTGACCTAGGCTCACTTTCCGGTGCCGTGAGGCTCACTGACAGGGCACGGAGAAGGGATGCCCGGCTAGGCGGGGAGACCACGTCCAGGGGGTGACAAGGCCGAGAGATCCCCAGCCTTTGAGGCCTTGGCTCCCGTCCTCTGCCCAGCGACCTGGATTCCTGGGGCAGAGGCGGCTGCTTCCGGAAACAGGGCCCGGTTCTGTGGACCTCCTGGAGAGGCGCTGGAGCCAAGGGGGAGGGAGGGGCAGAGAACGCTGATGTCCGCGTTGGCCTCCTCGCCTTGGCTCCGTGCATTT